TAACTTTATATTACTGAAACTAACAAATAACTCATTTGGCTTTTTTTTCTTAAAAATTGTATCACTTTAGTATGATATCTTTTCACCTTCATCAGTTCGAGACGATACAAATATGAGACGTTGCCAAGTCGGGTAAAGCCACGCAGTAAGTCAATTTTTTCGCTTATGTGCATGGGAGGCGGGGCAAAAGAACGTAGTGCTGGTCAACTAATTCTTACCGTGTAAGTGGGTAACTTATATAGGGAAAACGTATTCGTAGGTTGAGAACCACTGGTCTTTGGGAACGTTCTGAAGGGTGTGGGTTGTTCTAGTTTTAGGGAAATGTGAATATTAACTCAGGATAAGAAAAAGTGGAGGTGCGTGTCCAACCAGTCTTAGGACTGATGATGATTATATTACAAGTCAAAATGGTTATCAAACAACGAACTTATACTGTTTGAAACTTTAATTATAGTACTTTTTTCACTCAGTTTTTGTTATTAATCGCTAGTTGGAAAAAAAAACTGCAATCTTATAGCGTCAATTAAAAGGTTCTACTGAAGATACACGGGGTACAAACTATCCATCCCTGACTGTTGTATTAAGTATTATTGCTTACAAAGTATAAATTCCATATAATTTGACGTCATTTCATAGCCTATTAAGACGTTTGAATAAAAAAGTAATTAGTTTTATGGTTGGTTGATATTTGGCAGAGGGTTCGAGGTTAGATACTGGACCGGACCGCTCCTCGCTATTATTATTGCAGATTTATTTTATGACGATTCAGAAAATTTATTGCTTTTTCCCTCCTTCTCAATCACACTACAAATATTATTTTTTATTTAAGATGTTCCTTATATCCAGATGATCTATCAAAAATGATGTGATACGTAATTTAAGATATTTCCGTAGACTTTTACGTAATAAAATAAGTGCTTTTTATCGTACGGTTTATTGGTGTTCAACTGAAGCAAATATGAGCTTAACTAAATAAATAAATAAAGGATAACAGTTAGTAATGTTTTACAGCTCTTTCGACTTTTATACCTCACTATAAAAACTGTACGTTTTGAAAGTTAAAAATAGTCGATATTAATAACGGGAGGTTTCCAGATAATTATCAGTTTACTTTAATGATCAGAAAAACATTAAAATTAAATTGTCCTTTTGTGATTAAGTTATCCTGATGACGCGTTTACTGTACTATTTCTTATGTTTTTAAACGAGTCTCTTTTCACTCGCACTGTAAAAGTTTAACATCTACTATATCTCAAGAGTGGTCATTTTGTATACAGTTAGTTGCAAACATATTATATTTCTTATATAAAATAGCCTTTTTTGTTTATCTAGGCGTTTAAGATGGCTCTGCAACCCATACCTCTCCAATGTGATGATTAGATGAACATTTACGTTATACCTACTCCATTCTTTGTAAAATATTTTTAAAGTGAAACTTTAATTATACGGCCTCAAATTTTTTCGGTCATCTATCGCATGTCGTGTTACAACCGGCCGCGGAGTAGGGGTAAAACTGAAACGCGCTCAGCAGAGCAGCCAAGGCCTATACGGCGGCGCCCATGGTTCACATGAGCTAACCGTGCAGCATTTATATTCTCACTCATTCGTGCAACTGCATGACAATTACATTTATAGACTGTGAAACTCAAAGCAAAGATGAATTTATTGACAGAATAGCTGAAGTTCAAAATGTTTCAATGATTTAAATAAATATTGCTCTCTGTTTTTAACATGCGTCTATCATCTGAATGACTATATTTATTATGTATTCCGTACTCTCATAAGCAGATTGAAATTAAAATTTTTAGATGTATATCTTGTCTACTATTGATTTTCCATTATTATTCCCATTTTCCAATTATTAAGATAATATTAAGAAAGCGATTTTAATTTTAATACCCTAAATCGAATAATTTTCCGAAAATTTACAGTTAAATGTCTACAATCCGAAAAGTTTCACTTGCATCGTGGTTTCATAAAACCACAGAATTGTTTTTTTTCTTTAAGCTTACGTCTTTTTTTCTTATTTTATTTAATGTGGTGATAACTGGTGTTAAATTTTGACTGAACATATTAACCCCCTTCGGAATGCAAGTTTATATGTGGTCGTTTTTGGGGGCACCATGCTAATTTATCAACTTGGTGGTGACCAAGAACTTGGTTGGTTCTTACTGATTATCGTAAAAGTTTGAAGTTATTAATTAAATAGTCAAGATTTGATAGTTTTTCAGAAACTA